GCTGTTCAGAGCGAGCGGCTGCAGACGGAGCTGTGTTTCCCCTGCTCTCCTGACCTGAATTGACCGGTGTCTTAACCCTGCTGTCTGCTTCTTCCAAAGCGTAATCTCCCAGGGGTTCCTGCAGCTATCGCTGAACAACAAAAAAATAGGCTCATCATTTAATTCTCTGCAGTGGTGGCGTGTTGGCCAGGCTCAGGAAAAAAACCCACTAGGAAATCTCCAACTCGTTATCACGTTAAGTCGACTCTTTAAGGCACCAGGTATCAGAAAACCAGTGGGATTTCTAAAGCACAGCCTACTTTCATGAATATTGTTTAACCCCTTTGAACCCAGCATGTCATGTAGGAAAATCCCAGGGAGATGGCACAGATTAACACCCGTTATTCTACAAGAGTCCATCTATGTAATCTGTTGCTGAGAAATTAGATAAATTAAGGTTGTTAGTGCAGGGAAATTATCTGAGTGATGTTGTGACCTGCTGTGTGGATGCTTCTGTAAATGCATCCCTTTCAGTGTGTGCATTGATTAAGCTCAGCTGGGAAAAATACTCCTGTTTTTTTGCAGAATACATGCATTTCCACAGGAATGCATACTTGTACAGATGTGTTTAATTGTGCTGGTATGACTTTAATAAATAACCTCAAAACCTTCCCCTTTAGACACTGTCCCATTATGCAGATATAAAGCTTGAGGTCAAGTGCAAGGATTTAAACTGTATAGTTAAGTGAGGCATTAACTACAGCAACTGGCATCACCAAAAATAGTTATTATGTTAAATAGCTCCAGCTCAGCCCTCAACCATCCATGTGCATCCCTCTTCTGTGCTATTTACAAAAGGGTACTCCAGCCTTTAAAAAAAGTCTATTTTTCTTGTTTTCCAGTACTTCTGAAAACCTGCCTGCTCCAGTTAAATGCCAAGCAGAGGGCTGAGCAGTTTGGAGAAGCCACTGTATGTGTGACAAAACTGAGAGCAGTAACTTTTTTTTCAAACTTTTAGTTTCCCTTGGGCTATCACCCGCTGTAAGAAAATGTGCCATGCCAGTTTAACTGCAAGGATATGAAAATAAGGTGTTGCAATAGTTTATAGAAGGTAATTATTAATATGTGGTCATGCTTTCTCAAGCTGTTAAAGTATAAGGTATTCACACAACCTCAGGTTTTGATACTAGCAGGGGTGTCAAGGTTTGGGGTAAAGGGCTTTGGACCAAAGAGACTGAAGTCTCGCAAATGAACTACATTTGGAAGTTCATGTTGTTCTTCAGCCTAGGACAGCATTGTAATTTCCAGCACAGAGCTGGAATTATATTCTCCCTGGCTGACTGAGGAGACCACATCGGTCATCAGCAATGCCTGAGCTAAATTCTATAATCCAGTTTCAAGGTAACTTGAGCCTGTTTTGTACATGCAGAGAAAATACAGACATGCTGTATCAAACATCGCGGTAAAATATTTCACGCTGGTCAGTGTAATTTCTTCCAGGGGCAACAGCAGCCTGGCCATCGACCTTCACACTGATCCCTCAGTGCCAACATCAACAGTTCAACTTTGGCTCCATTTCTAAAAGCTGAAATTCCTAGAAGAGCAGCAGAGACCTCCCCACATGCAACTGACTGAGTATTTCTTATCCCTTTGCTTTGCAGGAATGGCAAAAGCTCAACTATGATATTTATACCTTACGGCAGACGCGGAAAGAAGTGAGAAGCAGGTGGAAACACATTTTGGAGGATTTAGGTAAGCTAGAGGACAAAAGGATGCCATTTGTGTGGTACCGAATGAGAAGTCCCATGATGGTTGAAAATGGGAACGGCTCCACAAAATCAGGCTGGTAGAGGAGAAAGGGAGAAAAAGAAAACAAGGTTGCTGAGCACTGCCGTCAGGTAGCCCACATGGCAGCTGAGAGCCCGCAGGAGACTCCTGAGAGCTCAGGCACTGCTGGGAGGAGACAGAGCCACTGTGTCTGCAGGCACATCAAAAAGCCCATGAACTATGACCGGTGGGAGAACCTTTCAGGCCCATGATCATCCTTGTCAAGCTTTCTTGTGGAAACTTAGCAGGGATACCTGGGAATTCACCCTGTTTTTTTTCTAAGGAAGATAAGTAGGGAGAAATGATTATTCCTTTCAGATTTGAAACGCAGGTACATCTGTTTTCCCTCCCTAGCCCATGCTAGCTGATCAGAGCTGAACCACCCACTTTGTCTGCTCCCAAGTGAATTTGAAATATTCTTTCATGAAATGAAATTGCTCAACAGTGACCCTCCTACTCCTGCTATTTCTTAGCCTGCGAACCGTGAACTGCACCCACTGGTCCTGTGTCCTCAGCTGCTGCTCCTCTGGACAAGGCAGTGGCAGGTGTCACTTGGTTTTCCCAATTGCCCTGCACACCGCATGTGACACTCTGGCCAAGGAGATGTGCCGTGCTGGCACATCAGCTCGGTGACTTGCATCATGCTCTGGAGGTGGTTGGCAGCTAACGAGAGGAGGACGTGCGAGTCAAGCGCACTTGTTGGGCTGTTCAAGGGTATTATCACTGGGAGCAAAAGAGATGGGTATCTCAGCCGCTCCTGCCCTACCAGCCATTCTGGCATCTGGATGGGAGGAACATTTTAAATTCATAAATAGATATCAGCGTTCATCTTCACCCAGGTGCTTGTGCAGCCTGTACAGACCAAACACGGGAGGGATCACTTGACGTCCTTACAGCTGTTACTGCACGTTCACAAAGGGTCTCCTACATCTCCCTCATGTCCGCAATGGCTCTGGAGCTGTTTTGCAAAGGGTGGGGAAGCTCAAGGCAAGGGATCATTAAGCCTTAGCAAAGCTAGATGTGCAACCAGATGTGAAACCTGCTATATTTTGTTATCTAAACCTCTGCTTTAGTGATAAGACCACTACTCTTTTCCCTGTGTTTTCAGGTGAGATGCAGCACCCTGGAGCTGAACAAAGAGCAATTACATTTAAAGATCCCTGCATTCATTCTCACCCCCATTTCCTTCCCTGGATGCCCTTCCTATAAGAGGTGCTGACTGCTACAGGAACAACTACCTATGCATCCATTACTGCCACAGTTTTTTTATCACAGTTACCTCCCAACAACATATAGGTGTAGGTGCTGGGATGCTCAGGAAGCTGCTGAAAGCCACTGAAGCACCCTGAAAGCTCTGGCAGCATCAGGAACATGCAAGAGCTGAAGCAACACCCCGGGTGCAGATGTTCATATGCCTCTCTGGAAAACTAGCAACAAACTTGCTCTGAATGGGTATATGGTTGTTTTTTTTCCCATCAGCAAGGTCATACCTGCCCCAAGTGCAGACATGGAGCGTGCCTCAAGGAAATGGTAGTCTGTTTTAGCAAGTAGGGAATACAGCAGCCCAAGGTGGAGGGCGAATAAGGAACCTTGCAAAAGCCTGGAGGGCTCAGGGATGACCCTGCCTGCATGTTTGACTTGTTTCTGTAACACGTCTTTCCCAGGTTTCCAGAAGGAAGCAGACTCCCTCTTGTCGGTGACCAAACTCAGCATCATCAGTGACTCTCAGAACATGGGCAAAGCCCGGGACATCCTGTTAAAGCTCTCCGAAGAGACAAACATCTTCCCAACCAGCTGGGAGCTTTCTGAGCGCTACCTCTTTGTGGTGGTGAGTAGCTCTGAGTGTGCCTTCCTCCCCGTGGCCCCCATCTCTGCAAGTGAGCTCAAATGAAGGGGAGTGGATAGGTGAAATGCACCAGAGGACGCTCAAATACATGGTGGCATCTGGGGCATCCCTGTCAAATGTTGCACTTGTATCTTGGCTGGTCACCTTTGGAAATGTCAGTGCTGTAGCACCATGAATTTGGCCCCCCAAGTTCCTTTAAACCTGTGCAACTGGGTGCTCTCACAGCCTGTTAATGGCATGGGGAAAGATTAGACCTAATGCTTAACCTGAGAACAGGCATGGGGGGAGGACTCTGACCAGGTAGCTGCCCAAAGCAGCCTGTAGTGACTGTAAAACCCCGTTGCTTTGGCAGGATCGGCTCATAGCTCTGGACGCTGCGGATGAGTTCTTCAAGATGGCCAGCGTGGTGTATCCAAAGAGAGCCAGTGGGG